ATCATGGATGAGAATTCAGAAATATAGCCATGGACGCTCAGTTTTGAACCCTTAGTGTCCTCTGAAATAACTGTGGTTATTCTATGATTAAAATGATGCAGGATCTCCTTACTAATTGCAGCGATTATCTTAAGAAATCAGGGAAGCTATTAAAATTAATGGTTTTTTAGTACGTTTTCATGATAGCGGGTTTCATCGGAAGACTTTTCTGGCTACTGCACCATGTGAGCAAAGGCTCCTGTTGCAGGCATCTGTGCAGCTTGTTCCAGGACTGTTTGCTTTTGAGCTCCATCTGCTGGATTTGTGTCCCATTTCCCACATCTTTGGTGTTATTATGCTGCCAGGTTTCACAGGAATTTGTTTTAATTTAAAAGAGAATAAGAAACAAAGTTCACGGTTCAGAGGAATTTCTAGCAAGTTGATGAGCCTTTTGTTTAAGGAATCGACCTAAAGATTGCTTGGAGAATTACAAGGCTCAAAAGAGAACATAATTGTGAGACTGAGGAAAAGAAGTATTAGTTCTTCCTCCACTTTTGTTTACAGAGTTAGTTTCTAGGTATTTTATAAAGATTTGAATTAATCAGGTTAGTCATAACCTATCAAATTCTGTTACGAGTTTTCAAAAATAGGTTAGTCACTCTACTCATTTTTCCGAGTTGGGTTTTTGTTTTGTTTTCCCCTAATGTCTGTTGTTATTCTATAACTAAGAAAATTAGCAGTGTTTTCAATATTTAATTAACTTTAAAAAAAGCCATTCTTCCCCATTGTAACTGTGTTTCTAGTATTTCAGAATATTTAAGGACAGAAAGGACCGTGATGAACGTCTAATTCGATTTTTGTAGTTCCATTGTTGCTTAACAAAAATGTACTGCAAAGAATAATGTGCAAAATTGGAAAAGAGGGCCCTGCTGTGCAAAACTACTCTAAAACTGTTTAAGTAGTCAGAGGCTTTCACGGTAAATTACATGATGACTTTCTACAAGTTTTCTTTGTAAGAAGCCCCATTCTCTGTTCAGAGAATATATTATAAAGTTCATGTCAACAATAATGTATATGAGTAGAATTAGGATTGCCACCAGTTCTTGGGTGCAGACACTGGTGTTGGCGGTGCGTGTAATTCTGAAGAACAAGTACTCCTCTGGAAGAATTACCTTCTGAAAAAGCAAACCACCTACATTTTGAATTTTCCTTTTCTTTAGATGTAAGGCTAATACTACCTTCCTTCCCCTGTCCCTAAGCTAATGCTAAATGTTACTAAGGTATATTCTGTTTCATAATGGGTTTGTGTATATGGTAATTTCAAATATTATTCGCTTGCTGTCCATCTGCCTGTTAGCAATATTTTGTGTTTGCTTATGATGTTTGCAACTTTTTTTTTCTACACAGCAAACTTTGCCTCAACTGGTTTTAGTTTCTTGATGTGGGTAACTGCGGTGTTATACCTAAGTCTCGGGAACAGGGGTAGGGAGGAAGAGACGGAAAACAGAAAAAGCGCCAGGCTTGATATTAAAGATAAGTGGGGGTATTTTTTCAGTTCTGCCTTATGCTTCTCATGGACCGCACTCCGTGGTGTACTCCACCGATGCCCAAGCTTGTTCCAGCCTGAGCTGGTCCATCTGCCTCCGCAGTCTATTCAGTAAGGCTGCCCGGCTAATAACCCCAGAGCCTCGGTCGGGGTTATTCACTCAGGCAAAAAACCGTGCTGATCCAGCTCTATAACTTCCCATTTTGCCGCAGGTTCAGGGTCCACACTCCACCATGCAGCATCCGTACGTGCCGTGTGATGCTAGATGAATGATGTAAGCCTGCTGTACAGTAGCCTGGGTGCCTGTAAGTTAGATTCTTTGCTTCCTGCAGAGTTGTGGGGATACGATCGTTAATGCGTAGGCAGCAATGTACTTCATTGAAAGGCCTATTTACTTTTTCAGAAAGTAATTGTTGTAATGGATTACTTAGGCTTCTGCATGGGACAAAACTGCCAGTCCTTTTTCCCGTAGGTTTGGAGGGATATTGTCTGTATTTCCTGACAGTTTCCTATGAAATGGAAAGATAGCTAAGGTGTCTCTTGGTCGCTAGACTTCATTGTTAAATGGGTATGCGCTGCCTTAGGCTGGTATTTAAAGTGCCATGTTTTGAGGTCAGTATTTTTCAGACCTACAGAGAAGGCGGCAGTTGAAGGATCGGGACTGTATTAGTAACTGCTACCGTGTTCTGAGATTGGAACTGGCTGGTATGTAACTCCTTCCCACTGTAGAGTAAGTTAGATTGTTACTGTTACTTCTGTAATGACAAGTACTTCAGATTTAAAATTATTCAGTGAGTAATCATGGTCAAACCCCCCTTGTAGCTCGCTTCTGTCCATGGGATAGAAGTGTGAGGGTTTTGTTGGTTTTAGTACAGACCCAAATTCTAATTAATATTCCTGTGTCCCAGACATGTTGTTCTGATTAGAGGCTCTTTGCCTAGGCATTTCTGTGTAGCCTGCCCTGTTTGAAACCCTGCCTTTTTCTGACTTCACTTCCTGAATCCGTTGACAACAGTCACAGCCAAACAAAATACATGTTCACAATGCTGTTATTTGCAAAATACTCCCTTGTGAGTACAGCTGGGACAACAAAAAGAGAGTTTCTCTCTGAGTCTCAGAGAGAACTGACTATTCCTTATAGAACTAAGGCACATAGTCCATTAGGCAATTTTAATTGCAGCAGTTAAGTCAGTGTTAAAACTTTGCATTTCACCACATATAAATGCACGCACATCTGTCATTACAGTTGTGCATATTGATCACTGAGTGATCTAGTAGTATACTAAAAGTGCTGAATTTTAATCCATGCTGAAGTGAAGCAGGTAGCAACAGACTCATAGCCCACCATACTGTTTACAAAACAGATGGAGGTGGAGGGAATGTAAACTTACTTTGCCCTGTCTTAGGCCTGATCCTCAAACGAGATGCAGGACCAAAGAAAGGGTTCATCTACATTGCTCCTCATCTCCTTGTGAAACGGCATAACTGGCACTAAAAACCACCTTGCTTAACAGTAGATGCTCTGACTGGAGACCGGTACCTCCTGAGCTGGACTGACTCAAATAAATCGTGTGACAGAAACCAACCTGTCAGACAATGCCCACTTGACAAGCAGTGCTATTACTCAGTAACTTTTTTGCCTGTGCTACAGAATGTCTTACTTGAGAGAGAAAACCCATAACTGCAATGCTAAATGTCTGTGTGTGCGTATTAGGATAGGGTGGAGCAGGCTGTCACTCAGCTGTATTTAATTAACATAGTATTTTATATAATGTATTTATTTTTTACGTAATTAGGTGATTAAGCAAAATGCTTGCTAGTAACATCTATTCCATAACCCAGCACTGTTGAGAGTTAAACCTGCACCTTTGCAGGTAATTAATCTCCTTGCCCTGCTTATTTTGCTAGTTGGCACTTGCTAAATCCCTATAAAACCACACCCAGCAGTGCTGTGTATTATCCCTCTGCTGTCTATTCCTACATATGGTCAAAATCAACTTACCTTCCGGGTTGCTGACATCAGCAAAATGTACTCTTGGCAAACTACAGTATCCTCCTAGTAACCCTTTGTTTGGTTGGTGTTGTTACAATTGTATTCCTGTGACAGCAGCAAACACCATTAAACAGTGCCTACCTTGACACTTGGATTACGATGTGGAAGGAGGTTACCACATTACCATACTGTAAACACTAAAACAACCCCTCATATGATAAAATGCATATGGGGGGG